TGTGTGTGTGTGTGTGTGTGTGTGTGTGTGTGTGTGTGTGTGTGTGTCCTAGAAAAACTGAGGAGCAAATCAAAGTACAGGCAAACATGACTTGGTTACAAGGTAAACGGTGTGTTGGAAGAGAAACAACCAGTCGTACCATGATTTGGTTATAGTTTGTAAGTAAACCCTGAGGCTCTGAGCTAAGGCAGTCATGGTATGGGATAAGAGAGCAGCAGTTCCAGAAGAAACTTAGTTAAAATGCCATCTAGCGTTGATACCTGGCTGAATTTGTGAAATGATGGGTGTATCTGTGCATAGGACCATTCTCACAATTTTTTCTTTGGTGGCATGTTGTTCAATGTTAATATTTACTCTTGATGTAACTTTCAGTTAAACAGTGGTTATTCCTCAGCCAGCTCTATACCCAAATCACTACACAGAGACTAGAATTTATTTAATTAACCTAGAACACAATGCTGGGCAATAGTTATTCTATCCTAAACCTCCAAGCCCACACAGTTTCCTCCCGTTCAGAATTTCCCACATTATACTTGCTTTTAGTCATATCTTAGGTCTGGCTTATCTCTCTCAGTAGTTCCAAGTCCTGCCAATCTCTGCCCTCCTACTTTCCCACTCACTTCCTTCTCCTCCCTGTGGACCAGGATGTCCCACCCTATTCTCTCTATTGCTCAGCATTGTGGCTGGTTGTTTTACTGGCAACACAGAGAACAAATGGTGGCATGTTTACACAAACTTGAGACATGTGATGCTTAAAAGAAGCATCACAATGCAATGTCCATATTGATACCAGATAGTGGGGTAGAGAAATCAGCATTTGAATGAACAAGGGTAAATTGTATACCTTCCACAAGAACATTATACCAACATTTCCCCCTTTAAGTTCAATAAAAGGCACCTTTTTTTTAATACAATAAAAGCTATGAAAAATATTAAGATTTACAAGTACAATGTCCAGTTCACCTGCATTTGGCAACTTAGGAGAAAGTTTTTGATTATTTATCCTATCTTGACAAGTTTAGAGTTCTATATCTAAATTAACTTTTGTCCTTATTGGTATTACCGATATGAAAACATTTTCTTAACTTATAAATAACTTAAGCTTAATTGTGGAACTGTAACTATTTGGTCTTCAACCCCACCAGAGACTTGAGAAGGAATAAAATTAATTACTGGAGTAAATAGGAAGTGCATGTTAGCAGCTTCCAAGAAATAAAAACTGACAGAGACAGTTTGCTTCCTGAACAGTCACCCATAACTCTCTATAATGTTGGAGCATCATCTTCAGCCTTCTGGCTCAGTATATTGACAGACATATATATGAGGCAGGAACTATTTAGGACTCATTTTCCTGTCTTGGCAGAGTTCAACAGTTGACCTGTCCTACATTTAAGTTTGCCCATTTTTGGCAGAATTCTGTCTGTCATGAAATGAGGGCATTTTCTCTTTGCCTGGATGGCTATTTTGCCACATTTGAAGCCATCTCCATATGGAGGTTCTTCGATGCTCATCATCATCTTTGAGGTAGGCAGGGTGCTTGCGAGGAGATGACCTGTCTCATAGTCAAAGAATCTTTAAAATATAAAGACATTTTTAAATGCCATATTCTGTAGGTCTCTGGAGTTTTTGAAGACTTACCTATCTTTATGTAATCGACCAGTCTACAAAAATCATACCTATCAGTTAAACCTAGGATGTATACTCCTGTGATGAATTAGAGTCTGACATGACTATGAGTTGATTAACTAACAAGTAACTATTACCTAATACCCTAAACAGTCTGTAATAGCAGTTTAAAAGTACTGGAAGTAACCTTGAATTTGTATCAACATACTAAAATTTACCAGTGGATTAAAAATAGACTTATTTTTACATAGAAATACAAATTCCTATATCAGAGTTTAAAATGACTTTATTTGAGAATAACAAATAAAACCGTAAGTTGAGTAGATTCAATAATCTACCTTTTGTTTTATTATTCCTATAAGATATCCCTGCATTCCCCTTACTTTCTTTTCAGCCCTTTTTCTCCTTATCTAAGAAAGAGAAAAGAAAAAGAGAAAGAGAGAAATCCCTGAGTAACCTTGTTTTCTCTCTGAATAAGACCATTAATAATTTATAACCATCTCATAATCACAATAAACATTCATAGCCATAGAAAATGACCAAAAACCTACCCAACCCTCCTTAAAGGAAACTGGACATCATTCTCATGAATTTTTTTCTAGCTGACTTTTTTGACACTCAGAAATCCTGTTAGGGGGCCTGAAGGAAATTGGAAAAAAAATGGTTAATTAAGAAAGCATTAACATTTGTGGTTTAATCTTTGAATGTTGAGAGATTTCAGGCTTAATAGAAGTCCTGTTTGGAACAGTCTAAAATGTTGGACCAATTGAGACTAGTAGCTTTTTTCAAAGCTCTCTTGGGAGCAGGCTTTGATGAGAAAGAGCAATTGAAGCAGTTGAGGCAGGAACAAGCAGAATACTGGAACATGCAAGATGCTGGAACAGATGTGTCAACGTCTCAGCATGCTAGAAGGATGAAGTCGGTCAGGTTTGATCCAGCATCTCTGGTGTCCGGTCCTTTTGTTCTTCAAATATATAATTTCTCACAAGCATTATATATCCCTAAAACTATTAAATGCATGAGATGTGCATGATGGAACCAATTTGTAAACTAATTTTATCTGTGCCAATTAAAAAGTGGCATAATAAACTTTGAAGATATGTGTGGCCAAGGATTCATTGGCCATGTGTTGCTGAAGTTCTGGCTGGAAACATCTTTTATGTCTCCATCTGTTTCAGAGTTGTTCCTATGTGAAGGGATCAGCACTTCATGTTATCTGTTCTGTTTAGTCTTCTTGATTTCTCTCTTCTTCTTTGTGGCCAAGATCTTCAGGTAGTCTTCCTCTGTGGATCTATGTAAAACCTCTTCCCCAGTGTAACACACTCCCTTTTTTCCATTTTGGAATTAGGACCTTTACATGCTGCTCTAATTCAGCAGTCCTTCCTAAATTCCACTGTGTCTTGGCAGGCGTGCTACTCATCTCATTTAAACATTTTAAATTGATAAGTCATTATTTACTCTATTTTGGGGAGATATTATATTTCCCTTCTATTTTATGACCGTCTTTTTAAAATTACTGTTAGATATTTTCATAAGTGTTTGACCTGTAGGATTATAAGTTATATCTGCAACAGGTTTTATGTCATAATGTCTAAAATAGTGTTGCATTCCAATGGATGTACATGCTGAAGCAACATCAGCTCGTTTGCAAGGCCATCTCCAAAACATTCACCATCTCTAAAAAATATATAACCTTAGGATTTAAGGCAAAAGCCTACTGGAATTCTGAATACAAATCTATGGCATGGCACATGTATTTCAGTTCTCCAAACTCTCTAAAATGAAGCACACCAGCCACTGTATGACCTTGGTCTAAGACAGCACTAAATAGGCTCTGCATTTCTACTTTAGCATATAGACCTTCATCTAGTAATTGAACCTTAACAGCACATACACAATATCCAGTCTGACCAAGCTGGCCTAGCATCTCAATGGGCTGTCATTTTGCAATATCTTCAAGCCTCTGTGGACTTTTCTCATCTGGAACTGCCTCTTTTGGTATTATTATAACTTTCAGATTAGATTGCTCGGAAAGCTCTCTATTTCGATTCAAAGATTCCCCCAACCTCTGTTCTATGGCCTTTAATTTAGCATCTGTTTTCTCAGTCTCTTCTTTCTCCAAGTCTATCTTATCTTGATCTCTCCCAAAGAGGATATACAAAACTGAAATCATCACTGAAAAAAATTATTTGTAAGCTAAGAGAAACTCAAATGGTATCCAGAAGTACTATGTCATTGTGTCTTCCTCCATTTTCAACATAGAAATTTATCCTTTCTTAATCTTAAAACTTTCCCTAAGGACTTTACTTTCTTAGACCCAGCTTCCCTTTCAACCTTACCAGTTTAGATGCTTGAGGCTTCTCAGTCTGTCTCCGGCTCCTGCTTCCAGAGAGAAGTATTTTTTCTGCCTCCCTCACTGGATTCTGACCCCTTCCTCACTCTGGGAAGTTATTGGGTCCATAAATGTTTGCTCCTCAGACTGGCAAGAACCCCTTCTCAAAGGGATTTTGCTTTCTGCCCTGGCTAGCAAAGTCTGCTTTGAGAAGCTTCCTTGTTACAGAGCCACTTTTTTTTTCTCTCTCTACTTAAAGAAACTGGCTCTCTGGGGTTTGTATGTATCAATTTTTGTTTTTCTGCAGCCTGATGGAGGCCTTGCTGATCTGCAGGGGGTCTCTCTGATCAGGAATCTGTGAACTCCTAGTTTAGAACTGCAGTTGCTTTGTTTTTAAGGAACAGAACTAAAAAACTGCTCTATAGTTTTACTCTCTATATAAGTTCTTGCTAGATTACTGTAAATTGTGCCACAGGTTGTGTGTCATTTGTTGTTGAAAATCAATATTTATCATTGATTTAACGTTTAGTTAAACAGCGGTTATGCCTGAACCAGCTCTACACCCAAATCACCATACAGAGATGAGGATTTATTTAATTAACATAGAGCACAATGCTGAGCAATAGTTGCTCCATCCTAAACCTCCAAGCCCACAGAGTTTCCTCCTGTTCAGAATTTCCCACATTATACTTGCTTTTAGTCATATCTTAGTTTATCTCTACTGGTGGTTCCAAGTCCTGTCCTGCAGATCTCTGCTCTCCCACTCCTCCCACTCACTTACTTGTCCTTCCCTCCAGACCAGAATGTTCCACCCTATTCTCTCCATTGCTCAACATTGTGGCTGGTTGTTTTATTGACAATGCAGAGAATAAATGGTGGCATGTTTACACAAATTGGAGACAGGTGATATTAGGTAGCATCACAAAGCAATGTCCGGATTGAAACCACATAGTGGGATAGAGAAATCAGCATTTTAATGAACAAGGGTAAATTGTATACATTCCACAAGAACATTATACCAACCATGGCCTTAGGGAGCAGAGAACACATATAGAAGGATAGGGTTTAGGGGACTCAGAGGCAATGCAGAAGGGAGAATGCATTACAGTTTGAAGCATACTGAACTGTGTTGTTTGTCAAGACTTAAGTGCATTTTTTATGTTTATTTTTCTGCCTTATTTCTGAAAGTCAGAATATGCCCAGTAGGTCGTGAGTGTGTTAGTCTAGTACCCAAAAGGAGCGTGTGTAAGATTGCCCAGGAAGGGTACAGTGAAGAGAATGAAGTTAAAAAACAGGGCCCTGTGTAAGAAGAGAGTGAAGAGGTAGGTTACCGTCATTGGATTAGACAACAGAAAGATGACTGTTGGCCACACTGAGGCCTTTGGAAGAAACAGGAGAAGAGGCAGAAGCTAGGTTGCTTTGGGCCACCTACGTGGGAAGTGAGGAACTTAGTTGGTGAAAAGAAACCATTCTCTCTGAAATTTACTTAGGAAATGAGGAAGAGCATGACTCGGGAAGGCTCCTCACTGTTAATGTGTGGAGACATTCCCATGTGTGTTACCCTTATGGGAAGGATATGTATAAGACAGGTGGAGACGACTGAGAGCAAGGCCAGAAGTGCACAAAGAGCCAGCAAGAGGTGTGTGAGCCTCGCTCAGAGGAATACAGTCTTGTTCTGAGGGGAAGGAGAGCGTGTGGGTGTGTGGGCAAACACTTGAGCCTCGTTCTGGAGTTCTTCTCTTTGCCAGTGCTTACACGCTGGGGTACTTACTGCCGTCCTTCTTAGCTTCACACAGACAGTCACACATGGGGTCATTCTACTTCTAGGCGTTACATGGCCTGATCACAGATGTCCAAACAAAACCAAATTAACCTTCCTGCCAGTTTCGCCTCCTATGCTTCTGGTCTTGTTGTATTTCTCTCTTGAGACACTCAGGGTGGAGACTGGTTGTCCCCTCCATCTTCTCTGCTTTTTATACCTGTTCTTCCATTACATGTGTGTTCTATCTCCTGAACATGCACCAAGCCGACTCGAGTGGCCCCTGAGCTGTCTTCCTCAGAGGCTGCTTCTACGCCGCTGCTCAAGTGACTGCTCCCCGAAATGCCTAAGCCACTGCTCTTCCACTCGCCATGTTTGGAGGCCTCGAGTACATCCAGGACAAAGCAAGCACTCCTCCACTGGGCCGTCAGACCCTCTGTGTGGATGGGCTTCTCCACAGCTCTCTCCTTCCTTTATGCAGTTGGCCCTGTGCTCTGCTACTCTGAATTTTGCCTCATGCTGCTCTCTCACCACCCCCACCCCCAAGGTCGTCTCTGAATGTCTTGCCCCTCTGCCTGGAAACCACCTTTCTCCACTCTGGAGCAGTGTAATCTCACCTGTACTTTGAGACTTTTCTCAATTTTTCCTTGACTTATGCCTAGGCTAACTGGCATCTCTCTGCCAAACAGCTTAACCAAGCTGAACTGGAATCTTTTTTTTTTTTTTTTTTTTTTTTTTTTTTGCTGGCCTCTGCCATCAAACTTCAGGACAGGGAATGCTTCAACGCTGTGTTCCCAGTCAAATGCAAAGCCTACCACACTCTAAGTTCTCAACACACTCTAGTAAGAGGGGAGAAAGGTCAAAGGTTGTCAGAAATCGGTGGCCTCTCCTTTGAAGCACATAGGAGGTAAGAACACAGAAAGGGGAGCAATCTGCAGTCCAGGAGTGCGTACAGGGGCAGAGTTAGGATTAAAAGAAAAGAAATGGTATCATGGCTTCCCACAGTGACGAAGGTATTCATTCTCTCTCTCTCTTGCTCTCACTCTCATGCTCTCTTGCTAGCTTTCTCTCATACATATGCACAGAGAGAGAGAGCGAAAGAAACAGAGAGATACTTTTATTTGAAAATAAAAGTACCAGACTTAATCCAAGAGCCGATCAAGTGCCATCACAGGATTCCAAGGTTAGACTGAATTCTGGAAGTCACCTGTTCACTGTTGTCATTCTTCTCAGAGGAAACAGACCCAGACAAGTCAGTGATGTGCAGCATGTGAATTTCAGAGCTACAAGAGCCCACGTTGTCACGTACTCTGCCTTGGGTTGTCCTGTTTTCAGTCTTGCTGTGATATCATAGTTTATATTATGCTTTCGAAGTGTGTTTCATTACTAATCGTGAGGCAACAGAAAATTTTATATCCCTTTAATTTTTCAGGTATCTTAGGAAATTCTGTCCTAGAAAATGTCTCCTTGACATTTCAGGCAGTAGTAATTACTTTCTAGTGTTAATAGCCTTTACTTGTCCATAAAAGTTTCTATTTTAAGTGTTAGTTTGTGAAAAACAAAAAAGTTAATTAGGAGCATGGCTAACTAAGGCTTCTTACGTAAATTTCAGATTCCTTTCATGCTTCTAAGGCAAAATAATTGGATTCTACTTAATGGACTATAAGGTAGTCTGCGTAATTATAGTATCTTACTCTTCCCCCCAAGGAATTGCCCTTATAAGAAATATGTGGGTACAGGAGTTTTTTGGCAAACATTAGTTTTTGAGAGAGAGATGAGTAGTACTGGCAAGATGCCCCAGTGAGTAATGGCACTGGCTGCCAAGCCTAGTGACCTGAGTTAGATCCCTAGAACCTGGAACCCACATGAAGGTAGAAGGAGAGAACCAAGTGCCCAGAGGAGACCTCTCAACTCTGCGTGAGAACCACACAGAGTAACAGAATGCACCCCACAGATACAGACGATAAACGCTGTTTAAGCACTGAGGAAACAATCATCAATTGAAGTTTGCTAAATATATTCAAAGAATAAAGGATGTATGTTCTCAATCCGTTATATATATAGTTTGGAACCCATGAGATGGCTCAGTGGATAAAAGCACTTGCTTTGTGAATGCAGGGACCTGAGTTCACATCTCTAGAACTCAAGTAAAAGTCACATACACAGCTTGAGGACATCTGTAATTGGAGTGCACCTGTGCAGAGATAGGAGACAGAGACAAGAGAATCCTGGAAGCTCATGTGTGTCTGACACATGTGCTGTGTATTCACATACAGACAAATGCATGCATACACATACAACTTATTGCATGTGTTTGCATGTGATAGCATGTGTGCATGTTGTATGTATGAGAGGTATGTGCTAACTTGTGTGTACACAAAGGCCAGAGGAAGCATCAGATGGCCTATCACTGCACCTTATTCTTTTTGAGGCAAGGTCTCTCCCTAAACTTGGAGTTGGCACTTTTTTCAGCCAGGTTGGTGCTCAGCAAGCTGTAGGCATCTCCCTTTCTCTCCCTTCCTCCCTCTTTATTTTCCCATCCCCCATATGGGCATGCCTGGGATCGTTCCTGGATTCTTACATGAGCGCTGGCATCCAAACTTGGACCCTTACACTTGCACAAGTGCTCTTATCAGTTGAGCCGTCTCTCTAGCCCCAAAACATTTTACATACAGTTTTATCAAATAACTGACATTGAAAAGATATTTGAGGGGTTGAGGATTTAGCTCAGTGGTAGAGCACTTGCCTAGGCCCTGGGTTTGGTCTTCAGCCCCAGAAAGAAGGAAGGGAGGGAGGGAGGGAGGAAGGAAGGAAGAAAGGGAAAAGATACTTTGATTGGCTATTGCTTCCCAGCCTTAAAGTGATGCGTAAGATCTGACTGTAAGGATAACGTCATCTAACACAGCCTATATTTACATACTGACATGTGAGTATATAATGTATTTTCCTTTAATTCATTCAAATATTTTATGGCATCTTGCCTCTTGCCACACGAGCCATACCAACTAATTTTCTTGGGGAAAGGGTTTTCCTTAATAAACTAATCAGAGTCGTTGGTAAATGTAGGAGGACCCTGAGGAGACACTGCAGTAGTCTTCTACAGAATAAACCCTGAGTTTCTTCCTAGGAAGCGGCGGCAAAGGTGCTCAGACAAGTGCTTCTGAAAGCTGAGCCAACGACCATAATTCAAATAGGAAGGTAAGGTATACTCGATCCTGCGGCCTCGCTCAGTGCTTCTCATTCTAGCTCCTACGTCTGTAAGAGTCATTGCACACTCTCGGGAGGGAGGACTTCTGTATGCGAAAGGACAAACCGTGAGGACAAACTCTGCTGTTTGCAGAGTTCAGGGTAATGGTTGCCTGTGCAGAGGGAGGGGGAGCATGCAACCAAAAAGGGTGTGTAGGGGCCTCACTGTATCTGTAATGTCCTCACCGGGCAGGGGGCTAAAAGGGCGTTTTGTTATTCTCCATGTGTTTTGGTGTTCCGAAAATACTTCATTCACCAGAAATGAAAGAAATTTCTACTTTAAAATGTATTTAGTAATACCAACAAAAATAGCCATTGCCATTAAATTTTACTTGGGAAATTACACGTTTTGAACCAGTATTGAAACATAGGGGTGAATCAGTAGCATCTGTTATTTTAGGTTGTTTGTTGTCATTGTTGTTTAAGACAGGGTATAGCCCAGGCTAGCCTTGAACTCATGGCAATCATTTTGCTTCAGACCCCCAAGGGCTGGGATTCCTGGTGTGAGCCACTGCACTTGGCCAGTCTTTCATTAAAAAAAAAAAAATTCATTTTAACCTATCTCAAAAACAAAATAGTTACAAATCCAGGCCAGGTGGCCCATGTGGTCCCAGCTACTCAAGAGACGGACGTGGGAAACTTAAAAGCGCTTCTCCCAATGGTAACTGCCACCTCTGCCTAAAAAGCAGTACCTTGCCGGCCACCTCAAGTCTCCCCATCATGGGCCTAACCTCATTCCCCACTTCCTCCCTTCCTGAATATCAGCCACCATTTCTGCTTCTCAGAGTCTCTTCAATGACAGGCCAGCCCTGCCTGTTTCCGGTTTCATTTCTTTTAAGCATCTTCAAACCTGCACATTCTCCCTTTCCTTACAGATTAATGTGAAAGAATTTATAGCTTCCCATAGTCTAGCTTGGCTGACTGGTCAAACAGATAACTGTGCTCCCAGCAGCTGGGTCCAGAGGCTGAATCTTCAGCAAACTGTTGGTGTTTGGTGACACTTAATATCTTGCTGCATTAGCGTTTGAAACGTAGCAGCCATCCATGCTCAGTTTCTGCAGCCTTGCATGTGTCTGACCTTTGTCTCTTCTGTCTTTCCACAAGTCTTGTGCTTCTCCCTTCCTATGAGTAACCAGCCCACCACCATCATCTGCTGCTCCATACAAAGTCGTCTTTCTCATCTGTTTGGTTTCTAATAATTGCACCTTCAAAGCCTTTACTGAATGGCATCTACATGTGACACGGAACAACACGAGCTTGCAACGTGAAATCCACAGAACCAGTTTCCTTCCAGGGACTAATTTTCATTCCTGTTTTTCTATACTCTCTTTCTCCCACTAGATAGGCAAGCACTTTAAACAAGGTTTGGGTTTATAATTCTCTTTTGGTTTTCTTTTTTTTTTTCTATAAGGAATGCCTTTTAAAAATATCTTACATAATGAATAGGCATTGATAGTTCTCTCATTGTAGCATGCATGAGTGGGAGACTTTAATGTGCTTTTGTCAGTTAGCATATATCCCAGATACCAAGTATTTGCATTTTTAAATGTTAAAAATAACTTCCAGATGTTATTAGCAGCGTTCTTAGCATAAATTTAAATATCTCTCCTTTTCACATTAAGTTATCAAGATATTTAAAACCGCACTCTGAAGTAGATTGTAAAAGTAGCCATTCTTTTTCAGCAGATTCTCCCAAGATCATTAAACATAAACTAGATATGATAGCTTATGCCTGAAATCTCAGCACTGGGAAGATAGGGCAGAAGCCTGGAGAGCTAGGACCATCCTGGTTGGCACATTTTACTCATATTATCTTTTTTTTTTTTAATTTCTCATTCTCACTTGTATTCAGTTTAATATTTGACCAGGTCTGTTGCCCATTTACCATTTAGAGATGCTGCATTCAAAAAGACTAGAGTCCAGGCAGCAAGCCCTGAATAATGGAGGCTCCCCATGAGCCTGACAGCAGCCTAGAAGTTGGCGTTGTCAGGATAAAGCATACTTTAGCAAACTGTAACAAGTGTCATTCTCTTCTCCTCAGCTTGTCCTGTCTTCTAGATTACTTGACATTGATAGTTCACAGCTTAAAATTCTATTCTATTAGGATGGAAAGCCAAGAAGTGAAAAATTAACTTTGTCTACCTAAAAATGTGTAGAGAGTAAAAGTCAATGAACATGGTATTTTCTACTTGGTCAGATTAACAGGCTTGTTATTTCACTTGTTGAAAACATTTCAAGATTGTATAAAAGATATAATATCACATTTTCCTTTTAACTTCTTTACACAGATATGACTTTAGTTACATATATTTAATCCTATCCACTTTTGATGTAACATAGTCTCGTTTTTCAAACATATGAAAGCTCCTGAAGCTCCATGTGTGGTGCTGCACATCTGTAATGTCAGTACCCGGGAGGCCGAGGCAAGCGGACTGCTGTGAGTTCAAGGCCAGCCTGAGCCACAGAGGAGGGCCCTGACTTGGAAAACCAAAACGTGATCTGTCTTTCCAGGTGTAATGGTACATACTGTAACCCAAGCAGTCAGGAAGCAGTATGGTCAAAAGTTTGAGGCTAACCTTGGCGTAGCAGCAAGTAGGAAGTTAGCTTGGGCTACCTAGTGAGGTCTTGTCTCAAGAAACAGTTACATGTAAATTATGTATATGGTTTTAATACCACAGTGACTGCTTGTAAATAAAAAACAAGTAATTCAGTATGGGGGCGCTTAATTCTGCATTATTATAAATAGATGCATTCTTTTCAAAGCTATGTCTACCATACTCTCTTTCTTGATGGAATCACTTATTTGTGCGCTACAGACAATGGCTTGGATACTATAGCACCATCTGCATTTCTTAAAAAAGTAAGTAACTGTCTATGCTGCTGTGCTGACATTTTAAGCCACTGAAGTTACCAGGTCTCTGTCCTGCACTTAGTTAGATATGGTGTCACTCCCTCTCCTCCCACTCATTTGCAGAGCACTGACCTCAGACACTTCTTACCCCATTCTTCATCTGTCTCCTGGGTCCATACTACCCCCAGCTCGAAAGTGGGGTCTACAAAGACCCTCCACTAAGATCTGTTAGAACCTCTTCTTACATTCTTTTTCTTCTTAAATTTAAGAAAGTGAACTACAATAGCACATACAATTCACAAGTAACTATATGCAAAGGGAGGTCAGTGGGCAAGAGTTTTTAGGTCAATATTCTAGAGACACTTCTGCTATAGTATGTAAATCAATAATAGGGACAAAATGAAAGTAAATATTATTTTTGTATTTTTATTCTTTGAGATTTTATATGTCCATGTATTTTAATCATATTCACTTCCCACCCCCTCCATCCATTCCTAGACCCCCCAAAACATTCTCCACAAGAAATATTGTTCTTAAATGAAAATATAGTATCTCTAAGGAAAAGTTTTAACAGAATTGCCAGCGAGTGTAAACTATGGTGGAGTGAAACTTTATACGTTTCTGAGAGGTCAGTTGGAGTAGATATCACCTGTCACTCCAGATCTGCTCTCATCCAACAGGAGATTTCAGAAAAGGCAGTCTAAAGACATACTGGAGCTAACCCATTGTCTTGGAAATTTCAGTGGCAGCTTCTTATTTTTAATTTTTATTTGTTTTTATTTTACGTGTGTCAGGCTTTGCCTGCATGTATACAAGTGTACCGTGTGTGCAGTCCCCATGGAGTTCAGAAGAGGCACCAGATCCCAGGGAAATGTAACCGCAGGTGCTTGTGAGCCACCCAGTGGGTGCTAGGAACTGAACCCGGATCCTCTCCAAGAGCAGCAAGCGCTCTTGACTGCTGAGCCATCTCTCCAGTCCGTTTCTTAGGTTTAAAAGTAAATGTTTCTAATCTTCAACTTTATATATTACAAATATGTAACTGAGATAAATATCTTAATAAAACGTTGTCTCAGTTAGTTCCGCTGCCATTACTAGTGGTAACTGTTTTGTGAATCGTGCACATGTGCTATCTGTTCGCACAACAGATAACATTGAAACAGCTCCCAATGTTACTGTGTATAAAGTCAGATGGTACAGCTTAAATATTCTAATTCTCTCTGCAGAGGCAATTGTTAGAGTTCAGAGAGTAAGGCCTTTTAGTCATTTTACCTAATATACCCTATTTTTTCCCTCTGCCTAACTTTACCACCCTTCTGAAAACCAGGTGACACAATACTGCCAACCAGGTCATCTTTACCAGTTCTTCTGAGAGATGCAACATTGAGCACAGACAATGATGGGGGTTCTTTTTGGAGGTGTTAGAGTTTCTCATTACTAACGTGGTAGAAAGGGACACTTAGCATTGTTTTGTTAATTCTGAGTAGATTTTGAGGACAAGTGCAGGAGAGAAAAACCATTGATGGCACAATTTAGAAAGTGCCACATGTCTCAGCCCCCCTTTACCCGCCACAGGGGGATATCTGTCCTCACTTTGTGTCCTTGGATGTACTAATGGAAGAAGGGAATGCCTGCAATCATACTATGTGAATCTCTGTTTGGTGCTAGAACCCTGAATAAGCCAGTGCCACGTATAGTGTTCATAATTACCGTGTCTTAAAGTAGAAAGGATGCCCTACCACCAAAAAAACAGCAGTGTTTCACGTTTATGCCATGCTTTGCTTCAAATGAACATTCACTCTGTCGTTCTGCACTTGGAATTAGCCATACAGGTTATGTATTTCCATTAATTTCCCCAGGTTAGTGATATTTTTACAAGAATTCCTTTGATGTCACAAGAACATTTTTTTCCTTCAAGTACACTTGCTACAGATTTTCAGCAAATACTAGCACAGAACATGGTACGTACCTCTACTTATGTCTTAAGCTCATTGATGCTACGGAGGACCTGGTCGTGAGAGGGGGAGGGAAGGATGAGAACCGAGTGTGAGGGGCTAAGGTTCACGCTGGGGATGTCCACAGAACCGCAGAAAACAGGTGCTGCTGGGTCATTCACATTCTTATATGCAGCCAATTCAGGAAGAGGGAATAAACACAAATACACATATTTGCTTATTTCAGTTTAAAAGTAAAAGGATAAACCAAAAATGTTTAAGTGGCTCCCTGTATGGGACTGCAGAAACAAGGAAGGGCTGGGCTGTCAGAGAGAGAAACTAGGTGTCTCCGTATAAAAGCTGTGTTGAAAACTTGACTTTTAAACCAGGTAAATGTTTTATATGATTATAAAACACTATTAAATTAAAATTTAAAACTAGTCCTTATTGGGTGAAATACGATGTCACTAAAGGAAAAATACCCTGTAATTCCATTTGCATGAAGTACCAGGAATAATCAGATTAGCTTGAGATAGAAAGTGGAGTGTAGCTGCAAAGGATAGAGAAAGGGGGAGTGAGTGAGCAGTCGATGGTGGTACGTGCGTTTGTGTATTCAGCTCTTAAAAATGGGAAATCTACAGGTGGATAGTGATATCCTTAACAATGAGATGACACATCACCTAACAACGTGCTGCGCCAACGCCACCAGACTGCACACGACGTGGTTACAGTGGCAACATTTTATGTCAAAATATGGGTCAAATGAGAATGAAGTAGTCACTTGGTTGTCCACATCTAGTGAGATTACAGCCTAATAAAAAAGGCCTGAAAGTACATTTTAAGACTTTGTTTCCAAGAGTCACCTTGTTACTAGTGACCCTGGTGTTGCTATTCTGAAAGTGGTTTATATGGATATGTTAATCTAGTTAAGAGTCAAGTTCTTAGCGACACATTTTCCTAGTTATGAAGAGAAAAAAAAAATTAAAGAAATCCGGCGAAATCTTTTCCCAAGTCTCCAAAGAAAAAGACATTCAAGTCTGTGCCTGTCTGCTTAAAAAACAAACTGAGGAACACTGACCAACTCAACAGGAGTGAGCACCTGATTGATGAGATTATAGTCTCTAAATATCCTCCTCCAAATGCACTCGGGCCTGGTTCCAGGTACAGGATGGAAGACATATGGACCAGAGCATACTGTCTTGCCTAAAACAATGAGGCGCAGCCAAAAGACAGGAGAAAACTTGACAAGCCATTTGCCACCGGCCAGTGATGGAATAATCTATACATCAAAAACAATATAAATATGCTCAGTCCCATGATTCCTAGGTGATACCAGAGTGGGGCAGCAGGCCTTGGAAGACAGCAGAGCTATGCTATGTCCCGTTGCTCTGAAAGCATAAAGGAAAGGAAAAGGGCAAGCACCATTCTGACTTCCCACATGAACCCTACCTCAAAGGAAGCCAATAGTTAATGGATTAAAGTTGCATTTCTTTTTCTTTCTCTTGTGCTTTTGGTGGGGTTGGAGTTTGTTTTGTTTAGCTTCAGACAGGCTATCTGTTTAGTTTGTAGCCCAGGCTATCCTCAGACTTGTGGCAGGCAGTGTTCCTGCCGTGCTGAGATTACACACAGGTCCAGCGTGCCCAGCTCCAGTAGCTATACTACATTTTTCTTTATGGATCTGTCCCAGCTATTTAATGAGGAAGTGGTGATACTATCTTATAATCCTCAACTAAATACTGGACCTAGATTATTGTTGTCACTAACTCGTGAACCCTCAGCCCTAACAGAGAAGCCACACACAGTTGTGGTTTCTCTGGAGGAAGAGTCAGTTTCCCTTGAAGGGTGTGGCTCCTATATCGTAGACTGATCCAGTACATGGTCACATGCCCAAGAACATGTGGGCAGCACAAACCGGACGAGGTGGGTTGAAAATGGACAACATGAAGTTTGGCCGAGTGAGGAGGTCGGAGATGAGAAGAGTAGAGAGTAAATATGATCAAAATATACCATATGAAATTCTCAAAGAATTAATAAAAATATTCTGTTGTAAAAGAAATACATGATCAGAAATGGGTAAAAAGCTGATTTGAAACTTAATAATTGATAGGCCTGAACCACCTAGCCCCACGGCGTTTTATTTGTATTTTTCTTTTCTTTCTGCTTTTTAAAAAGATTTTATTTTTATTTATGATCTCTGAATTCACATGCGTGCAATGCACATGGAGACCAGAAGAGGGCACTTAATCCCATGGAGCTGGCCTTCACGGCAGCTGTGAGCTGCCCAGTGTAGAGGTTGGCATCAGAAGTGAGGTCCACTTCAAGAGTAACCTCAGCTCTGAACCAGCCTTGGAACCATCTCTCCAGACCCCCTCAGTATTTTTTTTTAAAATTGGAACAAGTCACAGATGTCCTTGTCACCCTTGCTGATCTCTGTATCATTCCAGTGTTAGTGCCTGCTGTTGAGTTAGGTGCCTCACTGGTTCTTCCTAAACTTAAAATCAGAGAACCACGGAGCCGGGCGTGGTGGCTCACGCCTTTGATCCCAGCACTCAGGGAGGCAGAGACAGGCGGATCTCTGTGAGTTCAAGGTTACCTGGTCTACAAAGTCCAGGACAGACAAAGCTACACAGAGAAACCCTGTTTTGAAAAAAAACTCACCCCCCCAACATCACCAGCCTGCTTTCTGATGGGACACAGAAAGCAAACATCTGAAACTTCTCTGAAACGCCAAACCTGAATCTGAACCAGCCTGTCTCTAATCCCAGTTCCCTGGAAATAGAGAGGTTAACATGTCCTATTTATTAACACATAAGTGTATGGTCAACAAAGACAAAACAGAACACCCATGACAGATTGCAAAGTAGAACTAAGACTCTGTAGACTAAATGAAACTGAAGCAATGTGTCCATCAAAACATGCACCTTTTGGATGCTGATGTCACAGGAAAAGAACCATGGCTTGCTTTTGATAAATTTGTCTGAAAACTAGATATTTGGTAAATGATAATGAACTTTTTAGATTATAATGATGTTGTGGTCTGTTTTCTAAGAAAAATGAGGCTGTATCTTATAGAAAGAGTAAAAATGAGGCCTTCACAGGTTGAAATAGAGGAGCAACTGGGGACTGAATTTAAAACAGTAAGTTTGAGAGGACAGTAGCAGAGGTGAGACAAGTTTGGTCACAAGCATGTGCTGCTGAAACTATAGGATGGCTTCTGTTTTGTTTTTCAAGACAGGGTTTCTCTATGTAGTCTTGGCTGTCCTAGACTCCCTTTGTAGACCAGGCTGGCCTCAAACTCACAGCAATCTGCCTTGCTCTGCTTCCCTGAGTGCTGGGATTAAAGGTGTGCACCACCATACCTAGCTTTCAAAATATTTTTTAAAACATTTTTATTCAGTGTTTAAATGGCCAGATGCTCACTTTTGCACATCTGTGCTATCAAGTCATCCTTCAAAAGATCTTCTCTACTCATTTTTAATATAATATTTATCAATTCTTTGAAATTTTTAATATATGAACTCAATGTCTTTGGATCATATTTTTCCCTGTCTCTCCCTATAACTCCTCTCTGATCAGCCTCCCCCAACCCTGGAGTTCACCCTAGCTTTGCCCTACCCTCACCCTAGCCTCATGTCCTCTCATTTTCCCCACTTTTTTTTTAAAATATAAAAACTATTATAATTTTGTCTTGTAGCATTCTGATTTCATCACTTTCATAGTTATTCTAATGTAGCTACCCTGTCCTATGCCCCACTCATCACTACTTCCCAACACTGTTGCTGTGGTCATAGCCAGCGCATGAAGGCAGGAAAGAAAATAGGAGATACGCAAACTGGGAGGAAGACCTAAAATGGGCTTTGTTTGGGGATGGCATGATTGTACAAGAAATCAAAAAGAATTGGCCAAAACACTCTTGGACCTACAAGGCGTGTATACCTGGGTTACAGAATACTATAAAGTCAGCCAACAACAAACAAATGGAGTTTAAAATTAAGAACAATATTATTTACATTTTCACCCAAAAGTTAAATACTTGTATAAAAATTAACAAAATAAATATAAAAATCCCTATATTTAAAATAAATAAATAAAAGACATTCCTTTAACTACAGCTGCAGAGGATCTAACACTCTCTTGCCCCCATGACTGCTGCATCAGGTTGGCCCTGGAAACCTGACTCCAGAGATGAAGGAATGAAGAAAAGACAGACACATAGATAGGCACACAGAAAAGCTAGGATGAGAAGGGACTCACTCTCTGTGATGGAGTGGCACCAATGAGGCAGCAACCCAGAACCTCAGTGTGGCTGTGAGGAGTTAGCTAGTGTCAGTAGGAGGTGCTGGTAGGGGAACCGTTTTGGACTGTAAACATGTGTAAGGAAAGACCACAGTTGTCAGTTCCCAAGGGTCTGAGGCATTCATTTGCTTCTTACACATGCACATTCCTCTGCTCCGCACACACAGGTACCTGCACACGCTTGCACAAAATCTCCTGCAGGCACACACATACATGTAGCTTGCCTTTGCTGCTTTGTGGGTTATTTTTCTCACCCTTTATCCCCCTGGTTTTACACCCTTTCACTAGATAGGAGAGAAAGAAGGATAAAGGAGAGAGAGAAAGGGAAAAATTCTTGAAACTAGTTTCTTTCTTGTTTCTTCTTTGCTTGTAGTTGATCTTTGCTACTTCGTGGGTTCTTCTTTAATCCCCCCCCCCATCACTAGATAGGAGAGAAAGGGTAGAAAGTAGGGAGAAAGACAGAAATCAAAATCCTTGAATCTGATTTTATTTCTTCTTACTTCTTTCTTGAGCATGACTACTAACAAACGGCAACCAACCCCCCTGAGTGACCAACACCAACCAACCCTACTCTTAGGGCCCTACTATTTACATACCCTCTGAAAAGTTCCCAAAATCTCAAACGTCACGCAATCACAGAAACTATCTACAGCTGGCAAGACCACGATTCTGGTAGAGCACAAGGCAAAGAATACTCAGCTGCTGTGGACAGTCCAGATCATTCCCATAGC